TGCAACCTTCTATTTGCGGGTGCATGCCGCTCTGCCCTCACAGCTTGTGCAGCAAAGCTACGCGCCTACTCGTTACAGCAAATTGCGATGATGAGCAAGAAACGGAGTTGCAGTGCCGCGAGAAGAAGCGATGAGAGAATTAGCTGGATGTGTGGGGAACTCTTTGGAGGCATCTACGACAGTGTTGGTGCTCTCTTGGGACGCCTCTTGGGCCGTTAAGGACCCTTTGGGGGCCGTCTTGGGGCCCTCTTAAGGGGGCAGCTGGACCCCCTGGGGGCCTCTTGGGATAGGGGTCAGAGTCTGCTTGACTAATTACCTGTCGGGGTCTCTTGGCATGCTTCTCGGGCGCCTCCTGGAGCCAATGTTCGTGCCCCTGGGGGCCTGTTGGGGGCCGCCTGTGCAGATCTGGTTCGGAGCAAGCCTGAGCATGGAGATGAGATATTCTAAGATGAGTGAGTGAGGTGCTTTGTAGGGCCAATCCATATGTGTGCTGATGCCCTTTTTGGCCCTAGCGCCCCCTCGCTTGCGCTCAGAGGCGCGGATAGACATGGAAGCTCGACGAGTCGAGCTTGAGCTTGAGGAGTTCAAGGAAAAGAGCTAGAAGAAGATACCACTGCGCAATTCCGCATACCACTTGCATGGTAGCGGAGCTTCGTGGTCGACACGTTGCGCTACGATGAGTGAAGATCATCGGGGGGAAGTGCCAAACTGGGACGGAGACCCAAAGACTTGGCGAACCTACAAGAGGACGGCCCTCCAGTACCAGGAGGGCACTAAACGTGAGGAGCGGTACCTGTGCGGCCCGAGGCTAGAGGCGAAGCGCACGAGCCGGGCCGAAACGGCGGTGGAGCGCTGCCAGGCGGGATGGCTATCACGGGCTCATGGCGTAGAGCGGCTCCTGGCGTGGCTGGAGCGACGTTGCTCACGCCAGGCCGTCCCAGACGTGGGCCAGGAGCTGGAGACCTTCCTGATCACGACGACACGCCGCAAGATGGAGCCCATGCAGCAATGGACCGACCGCTTCGAGACAGGCTACCAGTATCCGAGGCGTGCGCTGGCGCGCGCACTGGGGCAGTCAGTCCCAGTCCCGAACTCATCGTCAGGGAGAAGGCCGGAGAGACCATTCAGATGGATCCAGGTCGAAAGGGGATGGCCATGGGATGGATTCGAATGGAAGTGGGAGTACACAGACGGTTTACCTGACGACGCTACGGAGACATCCCAGCATTGGAGTGCTGCTGACCCAGACGCCGAGGCCGAGGAGGAGCTCGGGAGTATCCCGGAGGATTTCCCAGCGATTGTCCTCGGCTGGCTGATGCTCGTGCGGTCTGGCCTCGACTCACGTGGGCGCGCAGCGGTCATGACCGCGACGGGGGGCTCGCTGGACGTCAACCTGATTCGCGAGAAGCTGATCTCCAGCTGGGAGGACGACGACTTGGCAGAGAGAGATGGACATTCTAAGTACCCGAGGGCATACGCGGCCCAGCTTGGAGCGGATGATCAGGCATGGCTAGACGGTGCCGAGGGTGAACCAGATGCGGGAAGTTTCGCAGCTGATCGAGAACCTCCGGAGCCACTCGCGGAGGAGCCCGACAAGGGGGGGGGCCAACGACGAGGACATCGAGGCGCACCTGGCCGCGCAGTACGAAGAGGCGGAGGCGCTGGCGGCGATCCACATCGCCCAGCGCACCCTCCGCCAGGCCCGCGAGGCTCAAACGGACAGCCGCCTGAGCAGGGGCTTCTACCGTGGAGGACGACCTGATGGCAAGGGAGCTGGCCGTGGATTCCCAGCGGGAATACGTCGGCCGATGCCTCCCCAGTACGGCGCCAGGGGTCAGGTCTTGCCGCCGAACAAGGGGCATAACAAATCCGCGAAGTGCGGCGGCGCTCACTGGGTGCAGAACTGCCAGGATCGCCACGACCCCCGGCTCAAGTCGAGGACGGCAAGCCCGCCAGAGGCCAGCGCGAAGATGGCGAACTGCAGGAAGGAGCTGAGTTTTAACCTGGTGGTGTCGATGGTTGCTGAGCAGGAGTCTGGGGAATCGAGATGCGAGGCGATGTTCGCGGACCAGGCGATCCAGGAGGGCAAGGGGATCGTTGACCTAGGCTGCGCGAACGCCATGGGCGGCGAGCGTGCGCTCGACATCCTGGCTCGCAAGAACATGGAGAAGTACGGCGACACGAGGCTGCGGGAAGTGAACCGGGACTACCAGCCGGTCTACAGCTTCGGGAATGGCGAGAAGGAGCGTGCCTACGGCCAGGTGAAGTTCAGTTCGCGATCACTGGCGGGGGCATGGAGGGTGACATCTCCATAAACGGCTTCGCGAAGGACGTCCCGATCCTCGTGTCCAAGAAGGTGCTGAAGACGCTTGGAGCCGTCGTGGACTGCGACACGGGAGTAGCGGTGTTCGTGAAGCTGGCCCCGGGAGTTCCGATCCAGCTAGAGGATTCACTGGGCGGCGGGCACTACTACATGAGCCTGGTGGACGACCTTCTCGAGCAGAAGGTCCGGGACCCGGCCAAGCTGCAGAATTTCCAGATGATCTGCAACCACCTCTCTGAGTGGAGCACGGCGCGCGTGGCAGCGTGCCGGGGGCCAGACCTCAGCCCCGACGTTTGTGCAGAGCGAGTCGGGTCATGCATGGGTCGATCGTCATCTGTTTCTCTCGGCGACGTCACCCCCAGCTCTCCTCAGGACGGTTGACGAGGCACACGGGGAGAGCCGGGGCACATCCGCAGCCGTTCAGGCTCGAGCCCGACGAGGCATTCCGCGTCTGACGCGAACGTTCACGTGCAGCGACCAGCAGTCCCTGATCCTCCAGATCCTACATATAACTGGCCAAGGGCCGTCGATGGCAGAGTGATGCACTGGGGGGGCCTCCTCCGCGGGGCCGTGCCGCTCGCCTGCGTTGGGGCGGTCTGCAGGCGCGGCTCGAGCGCGCAGAATGCCAATGTCACGCAGTGCGGTACAGGGACCCCGCAATGCGGAGGTCTCGCAGCTACTCCAGGAGTTTGGCCTGCCCTACAGTCTGGCGTGGAGCGTGGACGAGCTGAAGCAGGTCCTCAAGGAGAACATGTTCCCACAGGCGGAGACGGCCGCGCAGATCGAGATGAGGGGCCTCGATTCCATGAAGAAGGCCCAGCTGCTCGCGAAGGCGACGGAGGTCGGAGCTCACACGGCACCGGGCATGACCAACCCGTCGCTCAAACTCTCGATCCGCAAGGCGATTCTCCAGAAGCACCCGCCCGAGCCGACCGACTACATGGGCTTCGGGAAGTACGGCGCTCTGACGTACCAGCAGGTCCTGAAGCAGTACCCTTCCTACGCGGCCTGGTGCCAGGCAGAAGGGGCGCGGGGGGCAGCTGGGGGCTGGCCAAGTTTGTCTCGTGGCTCAACGAGCAGGAGATTGTCCACGTGAAGGAGGAGATGACCAGGACCCAGGAGAGGTCCCGACGGAGCCGCAGAAGGCTCGAGGGGGCGCAAGGTCATCCCGCCGAAGGACAATGGGCGTGATGATGGAGGACGAGCTCGAGGAGCAGGAGAGGCTGGAGGCCGCAGCCCAGGAGGAGAAGAACACGAACCAGTTCATCCAGCAGCAGATGCTGACCACCCTAAGCCAGCTCAGCCAGCGACTGGACAAGCTCGAGGGGCAGCCGAGCTCCACGAGCTCCAACGGCGAGAGCTTCGTTCCAGTGGGTTCCAGTCCGAGTGGTCTGGCCTGGGGTTGAACCACACGAAGGGGTTGGACCCCAGGAAGCAACGATGGCTGGCGAGGTGCATCAAAGAGAAAGGCCACACGGAGGATCTCAACGCGCTGCTAGCCCATGGGGGAATCAAGCTCATGGAAGTGGCGTGCAGCCCGGCCTCCATCCTGAGCACCAACATGGCGGAGTAGTTCGGAGAGGATGCAGTACGGCGAGTTAGTGCATGGAATGGCCACAAACTCGGGGCACCTGCCGAGAACCAGAAGGCCAGGGAGGCTCGTGATGATGCTGAGCCGGACCACCTGTGGGTCAGCATGCGGTGTGGGCCACTGTCGAGCCTCACCCTCGGCTTCAACGGCACCAACCCTCTGAGGGCCGAGGCCACCAGGAAGCGCAGGCTCCAGGCGATCAAGGAATACAAGGCCGCGGTGCAGCTGGTGTGCGACCATGTGGCGCAGGGGAAGCATGCGCACTGGGAGTGGCCCATCAAGTGCGAGGGCTGGGGCCACAGGATGATCAGGCAGATAATCGAGGACTGCTCGATAACGGTGGTCAAGGTCACCGGGTGCTAGCTCGGAGTGAAAAACGAGAAGGGTCAGCCCCTGCTCACGAAGTGACTGATCGCCACGACACCCTCGAAGATGGCGGCCAGGATGGCCTTGGAGTGCCCCAGGGGCCACAAGCACGGCGAGCTCACCGGAGGCAGCCTCGCGGCAGCCACGAGCTACTACGCGGATGAGCTCGCGAAGAGGGCAGTCCGGGCGATGATCGAGGAGGTCTCCCCAAACTACCGCGAGTTCCCGAGGTGCCTGCCGGAGCCCGAGGCGCTGGAGGGACAGGCGCTAGCCGCTGGGAGAGATGCGTTGGCTGACCTCCGTGCACCGAGGGTCAGGCCACAGCTCCAAGACCGCTATGCTGAACGCACTCAGGCGGAAGGGGGCGAGCCAACTGGCGCTGCAGGTGGCCCAGGGCTTTCACTGTGACGCGTGCGAAGAGGCGAAGCAGTACCGCCCCGCGCACCCGCTGGTCAGCCTCGAGGTTATCCCCCCGAAGTGGAAGCACATCCAGGCCGACCAGGTCGAGTGGGAGCACCCCGCCAAGAAGATCGAGTCAAAGCTCTCGCTCATCATCAACGAGAACTGCAGGGTGCGGGTCGGCAAGCTGCTCTACCACATGGTGGGCGCGGACCGGCACCGGAACCCAGTCTGGGCCGACCTCAAGGATTTCTACGAGGAGCGCTGGCTGCCATATTTGGGAAACCGCAGAAGGTGAAGGTAGACCCTGAGGGCTCGTGGATGTCCAAGCAGGCTGCTGACTACTTCGACTCCGGCTCCATCGGGTACGAGCCGATTCCAGGGCAAGCCCACTGGCGCATCTCCATTGCAGAAGAGGCGATCCAGGCCACAAAAGGGACCGTGGACTGGCTAGTCGCGGAGAACCCCGAGATGTCCACCGAGGAAGCCCTGGCCAGGGCAGTCGCAGCCGGGAGCGCTCGAAAAGATGTTCGAGGCCACTCCCCTCTTCAGCACGCCCTGGGAAGGGCACCTGACTTGGACGGCCATTCTTCGAGAGCGACTTCGACGAGCTGCCCTGCGTCGAGGCCCAGCGCGTCGACGCGGAGTATGGCGAGAACTACGCCAGGATGTGCGCGGCGGAGCAGGGGTACCTGAGGCAGGTCTACATGCGGCGCATCAGCCGAGCCGAGAACGCGAAGAACCAGACGCTCAAGTCCGCGGCGCCAGGCATGCGGGTGCGCTACTTCCGCAAGGAGAAGGGCGAGGCCAAGGGCCGATTCAAGGGGCTCGCGAGGGTGCTGGCCACAGAGACAGCACGCCCCATGGACGGCGACCTGCAACAGAGCGAGGCACTGCACCCGGGGCGGCCTGGTTCAGTGGTCTGGCTGGTCCGGGCAGGGCGGATCATCAAGGTGGACGTGTGTCAAATCCGAGCCGCCTCCGCCCGAGAGATAGCGTGCGCCGAGCTCATGGGGGGCGCACCTTCATGAACCAGGCGATGCGGCAGGAGTTCCTGGACTTCACAGGGCACGATCCCACAGAGCACGACGTAGAGTTCTTGACCTGGGAAGGAGTTCCTGATCCAGCACCACCTCTGAAGAGGACTCGCACGACAGAGCTAGCCGAAGACAAGGGTCCCCAGGTGACCCCAAGGGATCGGCCTGCCCCCCCCATGCGGAAGCAGATCCACAAGAAGGGGCAGCATCCTGGAGGCTCTGCAGACCAGGCAAGGACATCCATGGCAGCCACTGCCGAGAAGAACCTGGAGGAGCAGGCGGCACTCATGGCCAAGGCGACCCCTGGTGCCCGTGCTTTCTGGGCACGACAAGGAACGCCCCTGGATGTCTCGATGGAGGTCCCCCTCGCCGGCAAGGCCTCGAGGCAGGCCACCAGGCACATGAGCACCTGCATGGCGAGCCAGTTGAGGAAGGGGAAGCGCGAGATCTCCGAGCGGACCCTCGACCCAGACGAGCTGGACAGATTCAACAAGGCAAAGGCCACCGAGGTGAACAACTACATCATATCCTCGGTCCTCGAGACCCTGCCCCCCGGAGTCACGCCGCCACCTGAGGAGGTCATGCGTATGAGGTGCATGGATCCTGGAGTGGAAGATCGACGAGAGCACTGGCGACAAGAAGGCAAAAGCGAGGATCGCGGTCTTGGGCTACATGGGCCCCGAGTACGAGCATCGCCCGACCACGGCTCCAACGATGACGCGTACTTCCAAACACCTGCTGCTGCAGATGATGTCGTGGCTTGGCTTCAAGGGGTACAAGGCGGACGTGACTGGAGCTTTCACCCAGAACCGCGAGATTCAGCACGACCTGTTCGTGATGCCCGTGAAGGAGTTGGCCACGGCGCTTGGATTGCCCGAGGGTGTCGCCATGAGGCTCTGGAAGGCCGTGTACGGGCTCGTCGAGGCAGCCATTGAGTGGTTCATGACGGTGAGCGAGGCACTTGCGGAGTTCGGCTGGACCCAGATGAAGATGGACCCGTGCGTCTGGGTGCTATACGGCGACGCGCACGGCCGGGGCAACAGCTTCACCAAGGAGGCGCTGCAGGAGTTCATTGACCCAGAGCTGCTCGACGAGCTGATCGCAGCGAAGGGCGACCTTGACATCGTGGCGGTCGCCGGGTCGCACGTAGACGATTTCCTGCTGGGCGGCAGGGAATTTGATCCGCGATGGGTCAGGGCTCGAGAGCAGATTCAAGGGCGTTTAAAGTGGAAGACGTGGGAGACGGAGGAGTTCATGCAGACCGGAGTGAGGATCAAGCAGCAGCCCGACAGGAGCTTCCGCATGGATCAGAGTGAATAACTCCCAAGCGCAAGAAGAACAAGGAAGCAGGCGCCGTCGGCTGGCGCTCGTAGCAGTCTGGCCCAATGCATTCCGCTGACACAAGCCTGCTGCTGAGCATCATTCCCTCGTCCACGGTGCAGACCATCAACGAGACGAACAGGCTGGTCGACCGAGTGCGAGAGTGTGCTGACCTGCCGTTGGTGATCCATAGCCACTCACAGGCCCAGGTGCTGGTGCCGATTGAGTGGCCCGACTCGTCCGAGTCGAACCGGCCCGACGGGAAGTCCACCAAGGGCCTGGTCGCAGGCATGGCCCCTCTGAAGATCCTCAAGGGCGACGAGGCGGACGTGAGCCTGGTGTTTTGAAAATCGGGCACGATCGATCGAGGATGTCGCAGCTCCGTCGCCTGTGAGGCTCGATCCGCGGTGGATGCGGAGGACGAGCTGTTCGGTATCACGTTGCAGTGGCTCGAGATGCTAGGC